CCCGTGTCCCCTGCATCGGCAGGCGGACTCTCAACCACTGCGCCACCAGGGAAGCCCTCACCATGACTTTTGATTGCCATTTGAATGCATTCTTAGAATTTCAGAGCTAGAAAAACATTCTAGAAAATGATCCCTGGGGGTCAAACTTGTGTTGCTTTTGGTCAAATACATTTGGAGGCAATCCTCTCATTTAATAGGTAAGAAAACTGAAGAGAAAGTGGATAAGTGATTTTCCCTAGACAACAGGAGATTAGTGGCTTGATTGGAACCATGACCCAAGTCTCCTGGAATCACCTGAGGATCTACAAAAACTGATACTCCCTGATCCTACTGATGTCTCAGTCCCACCTCCAGAGTTGCTGACTTAATTGGTCCTGGGGGCAGCTGAACTGGGCATTTTGAAGAGCTCCCCAGGTGATTCTAGCATGCAAGAGATTCACTGATCTTTCCTAATTTTTGCTCTTACAAAGGGACCTATATCACTTTCCACTACAGTCTTTCTTCCTATCCTTTTACTTTTTCCTCACAGTTAATCCTAGTGTTGCCATATCCCAACAATTATTAAAGCCCACTGCCTGAAAAGGTGAGGCTGTGTGACCTCCAATGGGCGGAAGAGGATGGGAAGGCTGGGGACAGTGCGGGGGTGATTCAGAAGGTGTATGAAACCACAGAACAGCGGGCACCTAGTCCGCCCGGCCTTCTTATACTGAACAGATGGTGAATTTCAAAGCCGAATGTACGAGGGAACCAATGCCATACACCCAAATTTAAGTTTAAATATTCTCCATATGCTCGGGTTTTGAATTCTCTCCGGGAGCAGCAGGCAGCAGAAGCTAACCACCCCGAGTCCTAGCAGACAGCAAATGTCTCTTGGAGCTGAAAACTGCCAACTGCTGTGGTGATGGGAGCATGAAGCCAGGCCCTGGACCAATCCATTTCACCACCTGCTTGCTTGTCCCTCAGCTGTGAGAGGGTCTTTTCATTGCATTTAGTTGGGTGTGTAACAATGAGTGTTGGACCCTGTCCTAGAAGGGCAGTGGTGAAAAATTAAATTTAGAAATTACTCTTTCTTTTTGAGAAAAGTGATCAGTACAAGGAGAAAAACCTGTTCTGGAAGCCCGTGCCCTTGTGCTGGGCTTGTGGCCACAGTGATCGAAACGACACAGAAGTTCTCCGCCCCACCTTCAGGGCCACCAACTTCAGGCCCTCAGATCGTGCAAGAAGTTCTGCCCCCGCCTCCTGGAGAATGCACCAATCAGGACTGGCCGCTGTAGTCCCCGCTAGGCTGGAGGATTCCCCTGATGCTGTGTTATGCTGCAGACTTCCTCAGAGGGGAGCTTCGTGTTCTCACCACGTGGGAAACGGAAGTGCTGGCTTTCCCATAAACAACCAACCCAGCAAATACCTGACCCTTCTGGTCATGTGCATGCCAGATCTGGCTGCACAGAAGGTAGCTTCCATCTTTCTGAAGGATACGAGGCTGCAGTGATGAATACCCACTCCTTTCTTGTAAAGGCTTTCACCCCAGTGTTTCATATGATTCTGCTTTCCTTTTCAAACCATGGGAACCCAAGAGTTCACTTTAACTATGTCCAAACTCTCTTTTTAGTTTTATCCAATCATTTCTGGGACATACATTACACTGTTTCTTGAAGGGAAGGAAAATAGAGATGGTACTTTATACCTTTGGACACAAGAACTGGAGCAACTCTCTCCTTGTTATCATGTATTAATTTTGTGGCATATTCTAGGACCATAACACAAGGCACTTTGAAACTACTACCAGTTAAAGTTTTGAATTAGATATAAAATAGTTAGAGGCCAGGTTGCTCCACCGTTTGGCTTAGGGGGCTGGGGAATCCATTTCTAAAACATTATTAGAGAGGGGCTTCTTATGTGATTAATTCTGGGCAGTGGACATAGGCAAATAAGGTTCCCACACTCTACGACCTCACAGTCTAGTGAAGAACAGAAATATTTGAATTAAAGATGACCATCCTGGGTTGTCCTACAGGAGAGAGATGCACAATTAAGTGACTTCCTTAGATTCTCTATCAAATCAGTAGTGTCACCAAAGCTGGGGAAGCAAACCCCTGATCTAACATATTCTGATGCACCTTTGGACAATGATGTCCACATTACCTTGGAGCCCAGGTTCTGTCCGCTAGGGACCTATTGAAAGTGAGCGTAGCAAGAAACCAAGATGAGAAGACTCTGACTGCAGCCAAAAAGATGTCAAAGAGAGAAAGTCCATGATCTGTGGTGAGGCAACAGTGAGGAAGATGGCACCCGAAATGGGGAGTTACATGTGGGATAGGTCATATAGGACTGGATTGTGAAGGCTGTTATAGAGGGAGTTACATGTGGGATAGGTCACGTAGGACTGGATTGTGAAGGCTCTTATAGAGGGAGTTACATGTGGGATAGGTCACGTAGGACTGGATTGTGAAGGCTGTTATAGAGGAAAATTTTAGGGGGGTTGTTTTGCTTTTATCTTTTTTTCACCCCAGGTGAAGAAATTTGAATTAAAAATTCAGTTTTTTAAGCACTTCATCATTAATCCATGTAAGGTTCTCTTACTTTACTTTTACTTTTTACCTCCAAACCCTAATTATATTCCCTTTGCCCCCATAGTACCTACTCTCGTGTTTACTATATCTTTAGATGTGCATGCATACCTTCTTCAAAAGGCATATTACTTTTATGTGAATGTGTCTTTACAGAAATGATAATGTGCTATAAATCCTGTTCTGTTTCCTATGTTTTCCCCTCAGCACTAGGTTTCTAAGATCCATCAGTGTTGCTATGTACATCTGGTTGACATTTCTTAACTGCTATTTAGTTTTTAAGTGTACATCTGCCAGATTTACTAATAATCCCTTTCTCTAATGATAAGCACCTAGGCTGTCTCCAACATCCAGCTACCCCAAGAAGTCCCATGATGAACATCCTTATGGACCCGTGGGGGAATTTCCTTGGAGTATATTCCAGATTTTTTCCACAGGTCATAGGGCATGTGCATGCTTAATCTCAACAGCTGTCAGATTGCTCTTCTGAATGATTGTACCAGTTGACACTCCCTCCAACAGTGCCCTAGTGTTCCATCTTCCACATTCTCAGCTGCACCGTTATCACCCTTCTGATATTGGTCATTCTTAGGCATTCTAAGACAGAAGCTTAGAGTAGATACAATAGGTCATAGGGAGCTATCTAAAGCTCTTCACCTGTGAGTACCACGAGAAAGGGGATGCTTTAGAAGCATTGTGCAGGGATGAATGATCTGACTTGCAAAACCAAAAGATGCAACTGTATTCTCTGGGACGTTTGGGAGGTGTTTAGCATTACAAGTGCAAAACGTTTTCTACATATACTACTTTCTTTGCACAAATATCCCATTCGGTGTTTGTTCCCACTCCCATGATTGGTTAGTTTGTGCTGATCTGGCCTGAAACATGATTTGACTTGGTTATGGCCATTGTTCACTATGGCTGGTAGTGGAAGGCAGGGAGGGGAGGTGGGGCTGCAAGACCAGAGTATCTTGCTGAGCAGAAGCCCGGCCTCACTTGATGAGCTGTGCCTTCCTCCCTATCTTCAGCTGTCATCCTCCTTGTGTGAGAGAATTAGATGGAATATTAAAGTGACACTAAGTGATAACAAGGAACATTCGTAGAGTACTTGCTACTCAAAGTGTGGTCCTCAGACCAACAGCTTAGGTAACACCTGGGATGCTGCTTGTTAGAAATGCAGAATCTTGGTGCCCACCCCAGACCTGCAGAATCAGAATCTGCCTTTAGCAAGGTCGCCAAGGGATTCTATGCACATTAGAGTTTGACAAGCACTGCTTCAGTCTTTGCCAAACATTTTTTACATAGACTGTCATATTTCCACTCTTCCCAACACCCTGATTTCCTTGGGTATCAGTTATTTAACTCCCATGTTACAGGTGAGAAAACCGAGGCTGGGCAGGTTAAAGTGACTATTCCAAGAATACCCAGAAGAGCCAGTGCAGCCAGATTTTCAGACTCTGCAACTGCCTCTCAAGGTCGTGCTTTACTTACATCCCCTTCTCCCCATGCCCCACGTTTCTTCATTCCAAAAGAAAGACACCCAGGAAGAGCTCATTTCAGAGCGAAACAAAAATGGATTGGTGGTGAGGCTACCCAGTCTGGTGGTCCTCTGGGATGCAAATTGCATTCACTGCTATTCAGACTCAATCCTCCTGCTTCACTGCAACTTAGTTAAGAGGGGCAGTCAGATCT